TCCAGAATGTCCAGTGCCAGAAGAACGAAGTGTTGATTGAAGATTGCTGGTCCCTTGTAGCCCTTGGACTGTTCTTCATCGGCGTGGCTATGGCCACCAGTCACAAGGTTAGCTTACTCCACCCTCTCTCTGGTCTCTCTCCTCTCCTTCAAGTGTCCTTCCCAGTTTTCGTCCGACGGCTCAGAGGTACTCGTATCAACGCCAGTAACTATCAATAAATTTTTTAAGGTAAGAAGAAGAAGAAGCACTGAAAAAAAAAAAAGAAAAGAAGAAGAAGAAGCACTAAGGGTGAAAAAAAGGAAAAGAAAAAGCAGCAGCACTACAAGCCTAAGGTAAGGCTGTTTCACCCAGCCCATCTGGCCGAATGGTGCCTCCTGGGGAGAGGTCCCATTAGCAAAGGGGATTGGATAAAGCTCCTGAATCTGGACATGGGTTAAGTAGAGATGCAGAAGGCTGTTTCACCCAGCCCATGTGGGTGAATGGTGCCACCCATAAAACCGTTGATAAACAGTTTTATGCCCTGAATCTGGATATGTTTTAAGCAGAGATGCAGAAGGCTGTTTCACCCAGCCCATGAGTCTCAATCCTGATGGAATAGAACCTTGCCCCTGGGGTGGGTTAGTTCAACGATGATACCCCAACTCTGTCGTCCTTTTTTTTTTTTTTTTTTTTTCAGCTACTGTTTCAATTTCACATCAACGAATCTGTGTGGAGGGGAGTTGTTGGTCTGGCGACAGTCAACGACACACCTGCACAAACAAATAACATACAAACAGGGTGTTCGAGAACCCCCCCCCCCTGGGCCTCTCCCGGTGCCCATCTGTCCCCCGTCCTGCACACACAAACAAATATGAAGGAGAACGTGGGTGAAGAGGGGGACTGTCGAAGAAACATAGTGACGAGAAGGGAAGGGGTGGAGCGATCTTTCATTTTCATTTGTTTTTCCGGAAAAACAAATGGAAATGAAAACTAATGCGTTAACAACTTAACACGGGTTAATTTTTTGCGGTAGGAAAAACTCTCCTCTCTTTTGCAAATGGAATAAACCTACTTAGAGAGAGAGAGAGAGAGAGAGAGAGAGAGAGAGAGAGAGAGAGAGAGAGAGAGAGAGAGAGAGAGAGAGAGAGAGAGAGATGCGAGTGCTATTTTAGGGAGTCCAGAATAGTTGCAAATCTGAACGGCCTCATTTCGGCCTAGTCGGTTTCCAAAAGTGGCAATCCATGTGTCGATTCTTTGTACCTTTCCCCACCTCCCGGTTTTGTTGAAAACCTGCTGTGCTCCTATCGAACATGTCTTTCTTACGTAACATCCATCGGAGTTCAATCGTCTATACATTTTCATTGGTTTTCTGTTTGCAATACTTCCGGGGCCATGCAACGTGCCACACCTTATTATCGTTTAAACCGTCATTAAACGACAAGGCAAGGTCACCACGATCACCTCTTTGACTTTCCTATGCGTTTCCCACTGTGAAGAACATGTAGGTACATCCTCTTTTCACATACTTTGATGGGGTACAGAGGGTCGCAGGTTCGAATCCGTCCTGTCACCGTGAGTCAAAATCTGAGTAAATGTTTTGACATGGATTTTGATGAAAAGCAATTGATCGACCATTACCACCTACCCCCTTCTCCAAAGTCATCTCTTTGTCTGTATCTTTCGGTTTCGTAGTCAACACGTGCAGTGTTTCTGATGGTGACTGAGTTCGACTAACCAGTGCTGTAAATCTTTCTTCTGATAAGTGGAATCTGCCACTGCTCGACCCTGCATCCGTACATCCTGGATACACCTCCATCCTCCCTTCTCCTAATCGTTAATCCCTACTCTTTTCTGATCCCCAGCGGAGCCGCACCGGTCCATCATTCTTATGTACTGTTATCGACCATTTGGTGAAACTCGACAGGTTCCTTCTAGGCTTTACGGGCCCGTTCAGGCAAAGGCAAGCGGAAAGACATATCGGCCGTTGTTGTTGATGCAGCATTCGGGAGTTGCAGATCATTGTGACGATTGTGCGTCAGTTTCTGTTCAGTCCGGCAATCAGTTTTCGTACCTGGTTGGTTGGTCTATCAGGAGGAGTGCTTGTGTTTTCTTTTGCGGTGTACTGCTGCACCGGCAGTTGGACACCTGCTTCGGGCCAAGATAGAAGAATCCGGCAGTCGACGGGAAAAATGCCGTTAGTGACGAGACAGAACAATTCGGCTGGCACTCCTGTGCTGTGAGGGGCGTACGTTTTCTTGGCCAGGGCGAGAGCCGGTGGTCGGCTGTTCGTTGCATCATCCGAAGGCATATCATCGTCTGTGGGAAGGGGATCGAATACTGCGGCGACTCTGCTAGTGGAAGGGGATCAGGATGGTGCCTCCGATGGAAAAAACCGACAAGGTAATGAATGATATGCACAGACTCCCCTCCAAAGAACATTGGTTGGTAGGCTCTCTCTTTTCTCCTTGGGCATACTCAGACTACCGTCTTCACCCGAATACAACGTACGGTGACTACGGCTGCATTTGCGGCAACTTTGAGTCTAGATACAGCAATAATGATGGTCAGTTGTATAACTTATATTCAAGTGAAGTCTATAGCACACTGGGGAATGATGCTGCTCCTGGCAAACCAAAAAGTTGTTCATTTCATTATTTCATTCTTATTTTTAACTAGAAGTGAGCTCCAAACTTCGGTCTGACGTTCAACCAAAAGCTGTTTGTTGGTTTGTTTGTTTGTTGGTTTGTTGTTTTGTTTGTCTGGTCGGTCGGTCGTTTGGTCGGTCGGTCGGTGGGTCAAAAAAAAAGATTGCTCCTTTCTATTGGTGGGGAGCAGCACCTGCTGGAAATCGGGTCCGTCGTTCCAAACTCTTAAGAAACAAACCAACTCACAACATTTCTCCACGTTACGGCCCGGGGAACCCTGATAGCAGAGATTGCTTCCGTCTGGAAGGATTGAGTGTGCTGCATAACCATTGTTCGGTCGGTCGGTCGGTCGGTCGGTCGGTTGGTCGGTCGGTGAATCGGTTGGTCGGTCGGTCGGTTGGTCGGTGGGTCAAAGAAAAAAGATTGCTCCTTTCTATTGGTGGGGAGCAGCACCTGCTGGAAACCGGGTCCAGCAACCCACTCACAACGTTTCTCCACGTTACGGCCCGGGGAACCCTGACAGCAGAGATTGCTTCCGTCTGGAAGGATTGAGTGTGCTGTATAACCTTTGTGTTTTTTTTTTCTTGCCTTTTTGTTGTTTTGAAGAGTTAGTTTTCTCAAATCGTTTTTTTTGTAATTTTAATTTTAATTTTGTTTTTTTTATTATTAAGTGCGGGCACCGTCCAGCCTGGACATCCAGATGGTTGGGATGGCCGTCCGGGGAGGCAGGAAATGTCTGAATTGAGTCAGGCTCAGTCAGCAATCTATAGCTGATAGATGCGAGTAAATGTCCAAATAACTTGAAATAAGAGTATACTTGCACTGCGCCGTCAAAATCACAGAATCACAAAATGAGTGGCCAGATCGAGTCCTCCACCTCGCCGCTGATTTTGCGATTCTGCGATTTTGAGGGCGTAGTGTGAGTATCCCGTCGATGTCTGCACGAGGAGGAACGGTCTTGTTGTAACACAATGTACCATCTAGCATGCAAACCTTCTGCGTGAAGGCCATAAACATCTCCATGAGGAGCAGCGAATGTCCGAATGTAGTCAGCGATCTGTAGCTCATACATGCGAATACATGTAGCTGATAAATGCACATAAATGTCTCTACAAGCAGGAAATACCTTATCGTACATGACGTACCCTCTATCCTGTATGCTCTGTCGATCCATCCAAATGTCTGGACGAGTCAAATTCGGTTGCTGGATGATGCTGCATTTTTGACACATTCGATTTTTCTTTTTCTTCTTCTTTTTCTTCTTCTTCTTCTTCTTCTTCTTCTTCTTCTTTCTTTTTTTTTTCCTTTTTTTTTTTTTTTTTTTTTTTTCAACCCACTACTACCTCCGAGGCTCCACACCTGTTTTTGCCGAAGCAGCAAAGAGCTGCGCCCCCAGCTTTGCCAAAGCGCCAGTGCCCTTGTTGTTGTTGTTGTTGGTGTTGCTTTTTTCTTTTTATTTCTTTTTTTTTTTAACGCTGGCACCGCCAGCCATTTTGGTCCGGTGGTGCCTGGCCTCTGAAGAATGCAGTGTGTGCCACTGTGTGGTAGTTTTGTGTTTCGAGTTTGCCTGTGAAAGGTAGTTTTTTTTTGTGGGTTTTGGTTCCTGATTTGAACCCAGGTCTGCATTTCAACAGTCCATAGGTGTACCAACTGAACCTAGGCCGATTGGTGCATTTAGTTAAGTAATTACTAATTAGTAATTTTATAATTTTTAGTATGTACAATATTTCAGATGTCTGTGTGAAGTGAGTCTTTTCGCAGCAGCCGACCAAATGAATAGACCTGGGAAAAGAAAAGAAAAAAAGAGCACAGGCCTGGAAAACAGCCTGGTGTGCTCATGCTGAGCTACCGTCTTCACCCAAATAGAATGCTCGATCGGTATCGCGGCTATTGCAGCATACGGCGCATAGTCCAAGTTGCACCAAATACAGCTGTAATGACCAGGCATTGTATAAGCGTGAAGACGGCATAGGGAAGGCCATGCAGATCAGCTAGGTTGAATTTGTTATGCTCCGCTTCCCCAACAGTGACCTGTGGTTAGCTTCAAAAGAAACTCTGCTGCAGTGCAGCTGCGCAAAGTAGTGGCATTTTCTCCGTTGTAAGCAGCAGCAACCCAATCGCTGCATGCGCATCATTGTTTTCCAAATCAAATCTGTTGGTATGAGTTGAGCTGTATTTTATTTCTCAGAGCTGCAGATCTCTCTCTCTTCCTCTCTCTCTCTCTCTCTCTCTCTCTCTCTCTCTCTCTCTCTCTCTCTCTCTCTCTCTCTCTCTCTCTCTCTCTCTC